TAAATGTTCAGAAAAAACCCATGCAGAATTTTATTAAAATAATTTTGCCTAACCAGCCAAACCCCAAGTTAAAACATCTTTACAAATATCTACCCTAATTTTGTGATGAACATGAGAGGCTGTTACAGCCTTTCCCTGCCATTCTAATTTGAGGTCATCAATCAATGCAGGCATATCACAGCAGTAATTTAATAGGCTCATTTTCCAGGTGATCTTACTGTTCAAACGAAAAGTAAAATTTGCAGTCAAGGCTTAATATGAAGAAGAATGCATACTTTAACTTTGATAGCTGCCACTTTCAGGATGATGAGGTAAAGTTACAGGTTTTCTTTCAATTTCATTTTAGAGAACTAAAAATACCTGATAACTTTAACTTAAAATACAGGACAATTTATATACTTGCTATGCTTCCTTAGGTGCAAGCACAGTGTAAACTTCATTACTTGAATCATTTAGAGATAAATTAGTCTACACTACTGCAATGACAAAAGACATGATGTCTGCAAGTGAAGTATAATTGATATCAGACAGATGACAGCCCTGAATGATCAGAATTGAAAGCAGGATGTTTCTTTAGAGATGTTTAGAGACAAGTGAACTCTTCAGTTCGTAGCTGGAAGTGTCTGGAATCAGGGTAATGGAATGATAACAGGGCAGTGGTCAACAACGAAAATTCTGAGAACTGCAAAACTGAAATGGGATGTCAGGTTTCATCAGGCCCTGTAGCACCCATGTGCTCTTATTTTTAGATCCTCTTTATTTTTTTTAACTTTCCCTTAATATTTTTCATGGCTGCAAATTTTTCTGACATTTTCAAATTCCTCTGGCATCTCAGTAGGGCAGAAGACGTTTAAGTCTAATTTACAAAATCACATGGCTAAAACTGCTTTCCTGTTATTTATAGACATTTAGATATGGCACTTTAAACTTCAGCAATCCCTGACCATAAAGGCTGAAAATCAGTGGAAGCTCTCCACCTTAAATTTTCATGGCCACAGGATGAGAAATAAAAATGAAATGCATAAACTTCAGGTTTTAAACGACAGATTCTGAGATGTGAGGCCCCATAGCACTGACTGTCCTGCAACCACACTGTGGAACAGACCTCTCTTGGACAGAGCTGGAGCTGTCCAAAACAGTCATGAAATAAGAATGATGAGTACCTGAGGTCACTGTGGACACGCTGTGCTACACACACATATTAATCTGGAACAGCATTTAGCCAAGAAGTGGGAATTAAATGAACCTGACATAAATAATAAGACCATTTGATTACCACTGTCACCTATAATGGATCGTGTCAGCTACAGAACAGCTGGCAAGATGTACTGCGCTCTTGCTCATGTACTAATAAGCAGCTCTGCATGGGTGGAGCTTTACTGACATTGAGTGCTTGTACAAACCTTCACCCTTCGTGCTGCTGGTAAGGATGCCTGCCTGCTCTGATTGTTAGCCACTATTATTTGTGTACTATTCAAGAGCCCATAGCAATAGAACAGAACCCTGTCACAAATTAATGGGTCTCTACTAACTGGAAATGTCAATGCAAAAATGAATTTAAAGATGTTAATTTTTCAAGCAACATGAATGGTCTGACAGCACTTTATTACAGCAGTGTTACTGACTCCTTCCCCCTCCCACGGTTTAAAAAGCTACTGCAATAAACATCAGCCAATTAGCTACATCCAGCATTGCCTTTTTGTTTTCAATTCACATATAAAAATTTAATTTACAGAATGGCTGAGAGCAGCCTGGCCTAATGGAAAGCATCTCTGCCCATGGCAGAGGGATTGAAGCTAGATGATCTTTAAGGTCCCCTCCTCAGGGGAGTTGTGAGCGCTGCTTATGTCAGTCACTTTCACATGGAGATATATTCAAGGTCTGCATAAACCCAGCTTGAGGCACAGGCAGCATTTCTGTGTCTAAACTCTACAAAAATCATGGCCCATAGTAAAAACTAACAGCACTTCGGCAAGGCTAGCAAGCAATCAAAAGTATTACAAACTGCTTCACAAAAGCCAGACCTGAAAAGCAGCTCAAAATAATGCCTGACGCTTTTAGAGCATTAAAAGAATGAATCATTATTAAAACAAGCTATTTCTGATCATCCATAGCAAGGGTTCCCTAGATGTGGACATGCTTCTATTTGCTTCATGTTTACTGTCTTACAAATAGCCCTCAGCTCTTTAGTCAAATTTCTAAGATGTTTAATAGAAAACATTTACTAAAACCTGGTCACTTCTCCTATGAGAAGTCACACATGCGATCCTCGAACTGCAAAATGACCTCATGATTCAATAGGTAAGACAAAGAATATTCTCCACTCCCATTTAATTTTAAACTTTTCATCAGACAGCAATGGATTTTTATCACAGCCAAGTCTTCTGAAGATATAGATGCTGCACTTCTCAGCTCACACTTTACCTTTGAGACAGAATTCCACAGGGAGAAGTCCAGTTATTTAATGGCCGGATTGTCCCAGACTCACTTCTTGTCAAATATCATGAGCAGGGGAAGGGATTGTGGACAGTGATCTCACTCTCACCAGATGAAGACTACTTTCAAGGTCTGTAAACAAATTTATCTATTGTCCAAAATCAAAGCGCAATTCTCTCCATTACAACGATCAAAAGCCTCTAGGGGTGTTATAGCTGTTACCACATCTGGTATTTCTCAGCAGTGAGACACTGACAGTTCCCACTCACAGCCTCAGGATTGTCTTCATAGTCGTAAACAGGAGCACCTGCACCTGGTCCTTTTATTAGTGGCTATTTGTATACATTCAAAACCCTTCAAAATCTGCTTGTCAGGAACATTTAACCACTTCAGAGAGATAAAGGAGACCAAATCCATACTCTGAAAAAATGTAGTAATAGAATCTTTTGTTTTCTTCTTCAGTACACACATTTTTTAATTTGTAAACAGAACTAATTTTAACCTGGCAAAACTTTCTGTGAAAAATGACAGGCCTTCCTCACACTACCACCACGGGTTCTGAACCTGCTGTAAAAGGAAAAAAGGTTATACTGAAGTAATTATATTACATTAGAAAGTAGTTTGATTTCATGCAAAAAGGTTCTTGTGATCTTGAACAAGTCCCTGGGAACTCTGCATCATGTGCTAATCAAGATCAAACAAGACTGGTATATAACATATATTATTGAAGGGAGGGGAAAAGTATCAACTGGGGAAGGCATTGAGAAGTGTTAACATTCGCCCCTGCGGGTTAATGCCTCAATTGCTTTCTGCAGCCAGTCAAGAGATAAAGGCTTCTCAGAGAGTCATTCAGAGCTAAAGATTTGTTTAGCTACACTGAATCTCTCTGGAGGACTTCAACTTGTTAACTTCAGAAGCAGCCTGCAGAGATTAGGCTCGAAAAGAACACACTTGCTTTTGTGTACACTCCCCAGTATTTATTTACCTTCCATCAGCAGCTGAAACTCACTACAGAGCCGCACTGTTGGGTACACTGTATTGAACTCTGAACACTGTGCATTGCACATGGACTGAAGTTCACCCAGCTGGAGCTTGGCACTCCTGCTGGAATCACTGGAACAGGATGCACAGCACTGCTAGGATGGCTGCAGGATTGAATTTTTCCAAGTGCCCCATTGAAGTGCTCTGTTTGAATGCCACCTTTGGTTGGAGGCTGCCATACAAAGGACTGCTGTGCCCCAGCACCTTCAGAATCCACTCACTGTGCAGCTGTGCTGGCACAGCTCCTTCTCTCACTCCAACTGCTCCTTGTATCACTGGAGCAGCAGTGGGAGCTGGGCTTTGCGATCAAACTAAACACAAAGAATGAGGATTCTCAACTTTTGAGAGCTATTGTCAACTATTTTTGATTCTCACATAGTAACAAGAAAGGAAAATGGCCTTTTCATCTCAAACACATAATAAAGCTGGATTTTGTGACAAGAACACAGGAAAAACCCCATACTTCTGACAGAACTTATTATCAGGGCCATTTTCTAACTTCTCCTGTTCTACTGTATTTCATCAGATCACTGTGCTTTCCCTGAAAAATGTCCATGATATTTCAAAGTTTATAAAAAAAAATTCTATGAACTCATACAAACCAAAAGAACAGTTAGAGTTACTTGAAAGTTTTGGGGGGACCTTTCACAATTTATGCTTCTGCCAATTTTTTTTTTTCCACAGACTATCTTTGTAGCATCAATCAGCCATCCTTTTATAAATGTAGAAAACAGAAAAAAAGACTCTTCAAATTAACTTCAGCAAAGGTGCAACAAAGTGAATCATCAACACCAAAACAATCTTTAATACCATTCTGGTTATAATCAGAGCTGAAAACTACACAACTGCCAGGTAGAGTTGATTTCCAAAGTCCACAGCAAAGTATGGACAGACAGCCCAGTACAAATCTGGGAGCACAGCATTTCTACAGTCTTCTAACAACTCCCAAGCCTTAGAAACCTAAAGTTTCCTTATACAACCATGTCAAACATGACTCAACAAAATGAACTTGCAAAGGTCGAGTCAACGTGCTAAGACTGGTAAATATGTTTTAGCACTGAAATGGTCTCTTTACCAAACAGAAAAGCCACGGTCAGATTTTAGAGGCCATATTGAGACAAAGGTGTAATGAACAGAGTACTAAAAATACTAGTTATTTTTCCAAATGAAGAAATTCTTAGCATGTTACATAAACTACCTGCAATGCAGTATGTCAAATACTTCATGCTCTGTTATAACCTAAGTAACAGTGTGAGAAATGTTAGCCACCACATGAAATAATTTTTACATAACCCTCAATTATGTAAACATCAGAGTATCCTGGTTTCAAAATGCAGTTAACCATAATTCCCTTTCAAAAACACTGCACCTTTAGACAGGAAAAAAAAATGTTTGTTATATTCCAATAGGAAGTGCTTTCTCAAGCATTCAGTCAAGACATTTGCAGCTAAAAATTACAAGCAATTAATTCTGCTCATACTAATTATGTTGTGGCATTAGACTAACAAAAAACAAGGCACTCTGCCCTTTGGGGCAGTGTTCTGCAGAATTCTGCATAATAACTATCTTTTGGCTCAAAATTAATCCCAAAGCATGCTGAATAATTAACAGGAACAGTTTTTAATTATTATCAAACTCTAAGAATAGGAGAGGAACAACGTTTGCACTTTTTCATTTAATTGTTTATTAAAGTAAAGAAAAATACAGAATTTTACAGTTTACCTTAAAGTTAGAAGCTGTTTATAGGCAAATATTGATTTCTGGAGAGTTTTATTTCCTCAGCTTGCACCCATTCAGAAGGGCATTTTGTACTTCTGCATTATCTGACACATTATCTGAACATCTTTCTAAAGCATGATGATTGCACAGGACAGTTGTATTTGTGAGAATACTCATTTAACCAAGCACTGTAATACCCATTGCTCTTTCTGTTCAACTCAGTAGAACAGAAAAAAAATGCAATATGGTAAGATTTTGCCAAATACATTAAATCACAGCATAGACAACCAGTTCAAGAAAAGCAGCAATTTCTCTACTTAAAATACACAACTGATAGTGTACATATGGCAATTTCTAATCTGAACAAAAATATTTCAGTGAGTTGTATCCTGCTTTCTATGTAACAGGCAGCAACAAAACCAAGACTTCTGGAAAGAACCAGCATTAGTTTACTGAAAAAGGAATGACATATTTGACCAGTCTACACATTCCCAAATTACACTTCAATCCTTCCCAGCTGATGGCACTTCATGTGAGACTAGGTCTCACAAATTCTCTGAAATTGAGTTTAATTTAACTTCGCAGGATGTCAAAATGAAGTCTTAAAACACAGAAATCCCTGTATTCTCCTTTATCTCAAATACTTGCAGCAATTAAATCTTAGAATTACTTTGGAACATTTGGCAGCTGTTTACTTATTTGAGTAATAAACTCCTGAAATTTCCCCTCTACTTGAGATCAATAGTTGAGCCAAGTGAAAGCTGTTCCCCTAAATATGGGAAAAACTTTAGGAAAAAAAAATACAGGAAAACCCCCAACTTTTAGCACACAGTAGGAATAATTTCCTTGTAGCAACGTCACAACACAGTTTTCCCTTTCATGAAGTAGGCTCAACAATATCCAGTATTTTAAGTATCATTACAGTATTGATGGTGGCTGTGTTTACTCTCGTGGTGTCAGTAACACCTGTAGAGAAGTCTGTCTTTCATACAGCAACATAACATGCAATCAGCCTGTTCTACTAGTCAGGGAAGAATCAGTGCATGAGTTATTGTATTTTAAGAGGAAAATGAACCTTTATATCTGTTTCCAAAGAAAAAATCAAATACTGGGAAGTCCTTTCTGCTTGCTCTAAAAAAGTCCAATTCACCAGTTGCATTTTGGAGTTCCAAAATAAATAGACCTCTGCTGCACATCAATGTCACCTATTCCCCAGCTTTCAGGAGATGTTACGAGCTCCCAACACGATCTCTGGGAATGAGCCGTAGATCTGAACCATGCTTTAGAAACACATTTCCTAAACAAAGATAGAAAACAGGATGTATTACTAACCAAGAAAATACAATAAATACATTTAAAGTATAACAGTGTTAAGTCAGCGTTTAGCAGCTTCATGGTAATTCCTCTGACATGCCATAAATAAAGTTTTCATGCTTCCACATAATTTTACCTTGCCTCTCTTTTTCCAAAGAGCTCTTTATTTTAAATGAAAATGCTAGGCCTTGTGAAGTGCAGCTTTCCAAACTCTGCAGTTCCACATTCAAATGCCTCATTTCACTTATAAGCCATAATAATTTCAAGAACAGAAAACAAAGTTTTACTTTTCCACAATTATTTTGTTCTCTTGAGGTCATTCATACATTCATTCATTTTTAGGTCTCTCCTTGGTTCAGTACTTATCGACTTCTAACTTCAGAACCTCAATTGTATTTTTCTTTTAGAAAGGTTCTCCAAATGTCCAATCATAAGTTAGTTTCATTTTAGCTGATTTTAGTCTCATTTAGTTGAAAAGGATAAAAATCCCTTTTAACTTCTAATTTACTCCTTAATTTTTATGCTTATTGCTTTATGATAATCCTTTAATTATCATAAAGCAATACAGGAGTAAATTAGAAGTTAAAAGGGATTTTATCTTCTTTTCAAGAAGACATAATAAATATTAGAAGTTTCTAATATTTAGATGTGTTGATTTTTTTTTTAATATATTCAGGTTGCTTTTTATTTATTAAATGTAACATTTGAAAGTGAAACCACATCACTAAGTGATGTATTTACTTAATAATATATGGAATATTTACTTTTTTACTTCATACTACTACTGCACAGAATCAACTATATTTCATTCCTTACTCAACCTTGAATTAACTTCTAAAACAGAGTAATTTTATTTCTCTCTTGAGCACCCCATTCCAGAGATGTAGAGTGCTCTCACAAATAAGATTAAGATACTTGACATCCATTTAAATTGTCTGTACATTAGAACAAAGCTACCCTTTTCTCAACTCCAGCAAGCGGATCAGGATCAAAACCACTGTATATACTCAACATAACGACCCTTAGAAAATCAATTCAAAATAACATGTTAGCAGAAGACATTCTGATCTTACAGATCTGCCAAGACCTGGCACTGAAGAGATCTACAAAATCCACTGAATGCAAACCTGTCTCACCAGCAAAAGAAAGAACTGCCTACTAACCTTACTATTCTAGATTGGAAACATCCTTTTGTAATGGCCATTATAAAATTCTGAACATTTTAAAACAGGCTTCAGCTGCATCTCATGGAGACAGTAGCTCACCTCACCTTGGTCTGTCTTCATCATTAATATTACACTGGTTTTATTAAAGTTATAGCATACTACTCCCTGAACTAGCAAGGATTTAAAATTGAAATCAATACAAGGATTAAGTGCTAAGCCTAGCTCTTTCAGTTTTCATTTCCCCTGCTCCATGAAATCATGTAAGGAAAATGAAAGTCATATTTGAGTGCTTTTTTTCAGAAAGGAAGGGAAATTGTGCAACAGTACAAAAGCCCTGAAATCCCCAGGGATAACTAAAATTTTATTCCCATGTATCTTACTTTGGAAGTTTTTGAAGAGTAATGTAACAGCAAAATCTGTAGGAACTCTGATATATGAAAAAAAAATAGAAATAAGAAGGGAAAAAAAGTAGATTTTGAGATACTAATTAATGAGGCTGAACAGAAGATTAAACCTAAATTATGTATGTTTACTTGTACACCGAGGAAGAATTTTAGTCTGAGCACTAGGTTTGGTGTAGGGTGTATTCTGGTTGTTTTGTTTGGGTTGATTTTGGAGGTTTGTTTTATTGTGGACTGGTTCATTTTGTTCCAGTTAAGGGCAACATCACACAGCATTGCCAGAACAACTATGCTAAAAAACCCATAACCCATGTGCCTAATTTTACATCTGCAGAATAAGGCAGCGATGACAACATTTTGCATCTAGATGCTTTTAATTTACCTGTTTCTTGATCATGTGCTGCTGTCTTATACTACTTAATATTTCCTCAATATTTATAAGAGCTTAGGAGAGGTAAAGCAACTCAACTGGAGACAGGAATTCAATATGGACAGCTGCAAGAACAATGAACCACTGTATGGATGCCTTCACTCAGCAGTCAAGGAGTTCTAAACACACTTAAAGGATTAAGCTACAACTAATTTGAGCTACATAATACAAAATGAAAGCATACTGCTGAGGAAGAGAAATAGCCTAAGTATACCTTAAGCAATTTTACCATTTTGCCTAAGTATTCATCAGTGGTCACGTGAAAATGTGGCTTTACGTGCAGGTGATGATCTAGTAACTAAAGTAAATTATTAGATTTATTATCTGTATTTAATGCATTTGGTCAGGGGAATCATGACAAGGACAGCATCAGCTGAGAAGTCTGCCTGAGGCAGTACACCTGTAAAATCATAATCCAGGAGTACCAAGGCAGGACAGAAGTCTCTGGTGGAGCAGAAAGCCAAACACTTATTTCATCTTCATTTTCAAATGTTGTTGATGCAATCACAGATCTCAGAAACAGGTCTCTACATTTAAATGGTTTCTTTAACAACTCCAAGAAATTCCCCAAACTAATGTCAAGCAACTGCTCTTCTCTCCATCAGATACTGTTCTGTGCTCTGCAAGGATTTACTTTATACTCTCTAGTTTACACAGCTAAGTGTGCTGATAATGCTTTGTTTTATTTTTCCTGTCTAATGTAAAACCTCCAACCTCCTTCAGTAATGACTGGCAGTCAAAGGGCATAAATGAGACAGATGGATGGAGGCACGGATTTCATGCAAAAACCAGAAGTGCAGCATGTCTCCCTCAACCATTCATCATGTTTGCAAGTAGGAGTAAAATTATTCTGTTTTCACTGGATGACTGGATTCCATAAGCAGCACAGCCATTTTTACTAGTACTTACTAGGTAAGAAATGTTCATATCTTTCTATCAAGATAATCTGTTCCACTCTCTTCTCAAATGGTTTAAGATTAGAGTACTGTAATTATTTCCCAATTAGTTTAAAAGTATAGCTTTTCAAGAACAAGTCCATATGATCTGCCTCCAGACAGCAGACCATTATTGGTACAATTCAACCTCTGTACTCTGTTTCCATGTATTACAGGAGGTGATGGGAAAGGGCCTCACACTTTCCTGTGACAGAGACAAACTCTTCTCTCATAGCCAGCCTTGACTTCTGAAATCAGGGATTTCTGACATGGAACCCCTTGCTGAGAACAACAGAGTGATCAGCAAGAATCAAAAAATGGTTTGATTTGAAAGAGACCTTTATGACCACCTAGTTCCAATCCAACTCTTCTGAAAACACACTCCCCAAAGCCCCTGGAGTTTCTGCTCTAAAACTCTTTACTTTTTTTAACCTATCTCATGACAAGTGCTGCTAGGACAGCAAGTGCTACTGAATTAGAGCAGGGGGGAAATGCAGCAGTTACCTTATTACTGCAGCAGCATGTAATACTGTATTGCCTTCAGGCTGCACCTTAAATGCAAAACTCTGAAGATCAGAAGATCACCACTTTTTTACAGAACTAAATAAACACTGAACAAAAACCCCACTGTTTTTTGGATTTTAACCTTTCACATGCTACAAAGACTGGAGTTTTCAACTACTGGGTAATGCTCCTCCCATTTAAGAGGACAACACCTAAAATGTAATACAACCTCATGTGCAATACATCAGACTGAGAGAAAAATAACAAGTTTTAAATACTGAGATTCATACACAGTAACTTACCTGCTGTCTGTGCAGGGTTTATTCCTATACCATCTAGGAAGAAGGAAAAAAAGAGAAAAAAAGAAGATGTAACAGACATTTATTATACAATTTATTACATTAAACTTGCAGCTCAAAAAACATAGCAGCAAGATACAACTATTACATCAGTCATCATGCAGCTATTTCCTATAGCCAAAAAATAGGAACTGACAAGAAAGCTTCAGCATGGAGGAGTCCAAGCTATATATTTAGACAAAACTGAATTAGTGGTTTAGAATCTTCACCCCATGCATAAGAAATTTAAATAATGCTGCAATATTATTACATTCAATTTGCAGTAAGTAGAGTTTGTCAAACATGAGACAGTATTGATTTTATCAATAAACTTTCACTGAAACCTCAATACAAAAATTATTAAAAATATATATAAACTATATTCTTACCATTTGTAATAATGGCACTTGTTGCTGCAGGAACTTTGAACTAAAGGAAGTAAGAGTAGGACAAAACAACATAAGAGACATAGTTTAAGCAGAAAATATATGGGTAATATTAAATTCATAATTTTAGCTGGTTCACATACAAAAAAATCAGAAAAGTGGTCCTTGAGATTTATAGATATAAATAACTTTAATGGAAATGGATGACTATTGTAGTAGTAATTCCACAAATGTAATGGAAATTTTTTTCTAACTTGTGCAAACGTACACCTGAGACATGTACCAGGTAGCTCTAAAATATGAAGGAAAAAACCCAATAGATACCACACACTATAAATGAGGTTTTTTCTAACTAGGGCAAGTCTGGTTATGAGTTGGCAAATTTTAAGTTTTGGAGAGATGTCTCAGTAGAAACTGGCTAAGGCCAAATAGCCAGAACTTCTCTGCCCTGAGAATTTTAATCACAGAGAGGATAACGCGCTTCCCCTGGAGAACAACTAAAAACTTTGCCCAAATTTTGATCTTTTCCATATTTGTATAACTTAAGGTACTGTGAAACTGGTTCTTGAATCACAACCCACTACATAAGTTAATGTTAAGCTATGCAGTTCAAGGAATGAAAAACATTCATATAACCCAGAAATTATCTGTCATTCTTTTCAATGCCAGTTCACAAGGGGCTTCATTCCTGGGGAAGAGATTAACAATAATTTTTTGCTCTTTGCTAACAAAGCACTTCATTCTGGTCTCAAAGAGATGCAAAAAGCTTCAGTGCTGATCCAGAACAGCCTGAGGTCAAACTCCCATAGATACTTAAAATACTCACACAAATTAAAATAATGGCATTCAAATGTGAATATTTAACTCAGTAATGATTCTCTAAAATCCATTACTCAGATGACCCTATCACTAATTAACATTAGGTTCCATGAGTAGGTGAAGTTAACAGGTTTAATGGCAATCCCCACCAGAAATGGCATCTCCCTTTCAACATCTCCAACACTCATTTCTGGTACCTCATACTTGCTTGTTAAACTTTCAGTCTAGGTCTCTGTGTATGGGTTGTGTTGGCACAGCTGTATTAATACAGAATAAAAATAACTGGGCAAAACATAGTAAAAGCCCCCAATTAAATAATCAAATATCTTTAACAGCAAGCAATATTCTGTATAATGTTCTTTCCAAGTAAATTTACAACAAAATCAATCCACAACCTCCCCCCACAAGCTGTGTTTCCTCTAATAATTTTTGACAAATAATGGTGTCAAAAGTCAGAACATAAGGATCCCTTTTATCCTTCCTAACGATTTTATTGCAATTGCAATGCTCAAACAAAAGAAATTTTCAATAACCCAAAACTTCCCAAGTTTGCCTAAAAAGACAGAGGGAGAATTGCAAGAACAGACTCTCAGCTGATTTTCTGCCATTTAGATGAAGGGACTCATCATGCTTCTGAGCACTCGATTTCACTGTTTATATCCAGTGTCTCTTAATCTTTGTGTGCTTAATCTGAAACAACATGATACATCTCTTCAAACACATTATGTGGGCAATTTAAACACCTAATGATACAGGAGTCCATGTGAAAGATCAACACACAGAAACTAAAGAATACACTATCCACATTTTCCCTTAAGTGACTTTTATATTCTATTCCATATGGCTGATTTCAATACCTTCCACAATTAAAAACTGTATCTTCCAAAATCAGAGATTACTAGAACTGAATGTGAAGAGTTTACTGATAGTTCTGAAGAACTTTTCTGATATTCCACATAAGAAATTTCAGTATTAAGTATCCAATAGCACTTCCTTTTAATTCTCTTCACTGTCAAAAAATTTTAAATCACTGCCATAAAATAGTTAATTACAATACCAGCTATCACCTGAATGCCATCTGCTGATGCATAAATTGAGCAAGGATCACTAAGTTTAGGATTCTGCAAGTTCTGCCAGGCCCCCACTGAAACCAGTAAAGCTTGTGACCATCTGTGACCAACAGCAGTTCCTTGAGCTGAATTAACCACTGCACTTTTATCATTAAAAAACCTTTAGCTTTCAAGAACATGCAAAATGTTAAAAACCAGCATCATCACTCTTTACTTACTTCTTCTGCAGCAAACTTGAGGACTGCTGTGAAAGGTGTGCTCTCAGGCACGCTCAACCTGAAATCACAAAATCACAACACAAGTAAATGCATGGCTGCCAAAACAAACCAAAAAGCAATTTTACCTGCTGTTACACTACTGACTGAAACTTCACTTTTACCAATGGAGATACTTCTGCCAAAGCTGTGCAAGCTCTATTCGGGGGTAAAAGAGGTCCCTGGGGTGTGTGAGATGCTTCAAGTGAAGCCTTTTTAGCAGAGAACAGGACACCTGTAAATGTCAGCAGATGTGGCAAGTCTCAGGAGGTGTGGGATTAAACTCCATAGCAATGTCCCCTCCAGGAGGAGAGAACTCGGCCTTGAGCTGTGGCATGGATGGTTCAGGTGGAACATCAGGAGAAACTTTTCACTGAAAGGGCTGTCAAGCATTGGAACGGGCTGCCCAGGGTGGAGTCACCGTCCCTGGAGCTGCTCAAGAGAGGCCTGGAGGCGGCCCGCAGTGCCATGGCCTGGCTGACAAGGCAGTGATCGGGAAAAGGTTGGACTGGGTGATCTCAAAAGTCTTTTCCAACCTGAACGACTCTGGACACACAGGGCAGCGGGGCAAAGAGGGAGAGCCCCGAGAGCGGGGCTAACCACGGACATGGCCTGTCACTCCACACGGAAGGAGGGAGGGAGGGAGGGAGGGAGACAAGCGCCGTTCCCGCTGTGCGAATGCCCCGCCGGGATGCCCATTCAGAGCCCACCCGCGACGTGCCCCGTCTTCACTTCCCGCCGCCCCACGCAGCGCCGGCACTCACACTTTGTAAGGCAGCCGGGGGTCCGAGGTGAGCGTCACTTTAAAGGTGACCTTGGACCTGTGGAGAGAGCAGAGGGTAAGGGCTGGGTGAGGGAGCGCGGGGCTGCAGGACCCCCAGGCTGCGGGACCCCCGGAGTGTCCGTCTGTCCGTCCCTCCCTCACTCACATGGTGCTGCCGGGGCCGCCGCCGCTCCCACCGACACGTCAGCGCCGCCCGCAGCACGGGGGCCTTCCCCGGCCCTGAGCTGCCCAAAGCGCGCCTGATCACAAAGGGGTGATAACATGCCCCGCCGATCCGCTATGAGGCGGGGAGCGGCCGTGTTCTTCCTCAGTGCCTCACTGCAGCTGGAAAAGAGAGAGTCTACGGTGTGGTTGAGGCGCAGCGGAGAACGGCAGGGACGATTTCTAATGAGGCAGTCGCGCTGGGTGTTGCGCGGCCGAGGTAGGACCCCGGCACCGGGACCCGGCGCTTCCGCGGGGGCTGCAGGGAGACGCAGGCGGGACGGGGAGGGAGCGGGGCCGGGATCGGGGGGATCAGCGGGCTGTGGTCACACCGGGAGTATGCAGGAGTGGGGAGTTTGGTAACCAGAGGCCACGTCTGGTGTGCTGTGTCCGATTTTGGACTCCTCAGTGCTAGAGGCTCCTCTCCCCCTGGAGAGGGTCCGGCGCAAGAGCGCAAAGATGGTGAGGGGTCTGGAGCATCTTAGCAGAGGGAGAGAGGAGAGCTGGGCCTGTTCAGTGTGGAGAAATGACTGAGAGAGGATCGATTAATGCCTATGAATACCTCAAAGTCGAATGCCAAGAGAATGGTGCCAGACTTCTCAGTGATGCCCAGCGACGGGGTGAGGAGCGATGGCCAGGAACTGAAACACAGGGAGTTCCATCTCGACACGAGAACAACTGCTTTACATTGAGGGTGGCAGAGCCCTGGAACAGCCTGCCCAGGGACACCGTGGAGTCACCCATTCTGGAGACATTCAAAACCCACCTGGACACATTCCTGTGTAATCTGTTCTAGGGGACCCTGCCTTGCCAGAGTTTTGGAGTAGATCTCCAGAGGTCCTTTCCAACCCTAATAATTTTGTGATCCTGTTTTGCTCTCAAACCAAAATGGTTTGCAGATGCTTGTTGAAAGTTATGCAGGCAAAAGTGGATGCAAACACTGATTGCTACCCCCTTAGTATTTAAAACTGTTCATATCTTTCTTGTGATGAGGGAACTAGAATGAGAGTTTTGTTTGGATAGTGATGGTTATTTTTATGGCAGAAAACCAGCAGGTTCCAGTTTTGTTTGTGACTTTTGGCAAATCAATTTCTCTTCAATTAGGTGCCATGGAACTGCAAAGTAGGTTTTGTCTTTAATAGTCATGTATCTGCTAATGCAGGTGATGATTGAGTTTTCAACTCTGATGTGTCAGTATTTTCCTTATAGAAGATATTTGTCAGATTTCCCCAGTTTATGCTGTCTGCAGGAAGGACAGCATTCACTGCAAGTGAAGTGTTTGGTATCACACACTGCTTGCCAAACTGGTCATGGCAAAGCATTTATTGGGTTCACCTTCACTGGGGTCTCATTTGGATTAATGTAGATGCTGTACAAAAGGCAGGTGATACATTAAAGTCATTATTTTTTCCCTAAGGAAAAGGGAAAAAAGGCTTCTTGTCCACGTATGAAATCCAGCTTTTCACTCTTATGCTGTTCTTACATGAACATGGACCAAACTGAAAAAAAATAAATTAAAAACCAAAGAATTTCACTATGAGCTTGTCCAATGGCATTCATATTTCCCAGTCTCTCCTGCATTTTTGTTACTTTGTCTTTTTTCATAGCTATATTGAATTTGGGAGTTGTACACATCTTGTAATCCATTAATGATCTCTTGGCTTTTTCATCCCCCTGCTTTTAAGAGATCACATCTGAAATTGGAGCTAATTAATAGTCATCTCTTTATATTTAACCCTGCATTTTGTACTTTCAGCTAAATGTCATCCTATATTTATCATTGCCCTTTTCAAAATCAGCTGTTTTTTTATGCATTTTATGGCTTTGGCTTATGTGGCTCTCTTATCTGCAGCTTTCATTAATGCATTGCTGTCTCCTGTTTTCCAAAGTGTTGAATGCAGATGTGAAATAAAAGACTGATCTTTTCAGCTCTTCATTTCTGGTCTCTCACTTCAAGTACTTCCCCTCTTAGGAAATAAGCAGATCCAAATCTTCCTGTTGTTGGAACTGGACCGTGTTGGTATCCAGATTTACTTGGTTAAATCCAGTTTGAGCATATGTGTGCTATAGTGCTGTGAACAGTCTAAATCCAGGCCTGGCTAGTCCTGTGTTCTGGCCACGTGGTCTTGTCCTCTGTCAAGCAAAGGAACCAACACTAGTGACCAGGTAAAGGATCTGTTCAGGAAACTGATTTGGCAAAATCCCCCAAAATTTAGGTGATTTAGTGTGGCTGTCTTCAGAAACCACCAACAAAGAAGGACATGAGGAAGCACAGCTAGTTGGCAGTAATACTCTACTGCACAGCATCTCAGGTCAGCTTGAGATGCTGTGGAGCTGTATTCTGAGCAGGCATCAGGAGTTTCATGGAAATGCCAGGGAGTGGTGGGCTGACCCTGGCTGGATGCCAGGTGCCCAGGGAAGCTGCTCTGTTACTCCCCTCCTCAGCTGGGCAGGGGAGTGAAAACATGAAGAAAGGCTCATTGCTTGAGGTAAGGACAGGGAGAGTTCAGTCACCAATTACTGCCATGGGCACAACAGACTCGACTTGGGGAAATTATTTATCAAACTAGAGTATGGTAATGAGAAGTAAAATGAAATCTTAAAAATACCTGCCCCCCTCCCTTCTGGACTGAACTTGGCCTCAGAGTTCTCTACCTCTTCCCCCTGTAAGGTCCCTTTCACAAATTACTCCAGTGTGGGTCCTTCCCAGGGACCATAAGTCCTGCCAGCAAACCTACTTGTGGCACCTGGAGCACCTCCTCCCACTCCTCCACTGACCTTGGTGCTTGCAGAGTGGTTTCTTTCACATATTCTCATTCCTTTCTCTGGTGTTCTGTGGTTTTGGGTTTATTTTTCTCCTTCTTAGTTCTGTTGTCCTAGAGATGCTGGTGGGCTCAGCTTTGGCCAGCAGCAGGTTCATCTTGGAGCCATCTGGCATTAGCTCTGTTGGACATGGGGAAGCTTTTGGCAGTGTCTCCCAGACATCCCTGTAGCCCCTGCCACTGCCAAAACCTTGCCAGGCAAACCCAGCACACAGGGTCAGGATCTTCTGATGTACAGGCAGGCATCCAAGTGATTTCATGAAAGGAGGACCTTTTCAGTGCTGCAAATTCAGAATTTTCCTGTGCTATTTCAACCTGTTCAAAGAGCTGGCAGGGTTGATTTTTTTTTTCCTTTATGAGAATTTACAGTGAATAGAGGAGAATGTGCATGATTTTTCTCTTTTAATTGGGAGAGTTAATGGGACTCGTCCTGTCTGCAAACAAGCCAGGGATGGTTTAGAGGATTGCCTTTCACTAATGGGTTTATATACAACAATATCCTCTTCAACACCAGAAAAACTCTTTCATTAAAAAGAAGTCTGCCCTCCTTTCCCTGTGAGTGAAGCCAGGGAAAAAATTATTTCCTAATAAAATTTGGTTTTTTTACAGCTCTTAATTACCCAGACTCAAATATGTTGTGTTACAGCAATGACACCTAACTTTGACTTTCCTAGCTGTGTAAATGACAAAAGGAATGACAATTTCAGCAATTAATTAAAACAGTTGGGATCTGGCAATATGTAAACACAGTTGTTCAACTGAAAGCTTTTAGGTTAAGAAAATGAAAAAAAAAATTGCAAACCAGAAAATAACAATGTAGCCCCCTGGATGCTGTGGATATTACTGAGATGAGCTAGAATACCTCTGACAACTCTTTGGGCAAGACCTAGTTGTTGATAGCATTGCAAGAGAAAATAACTACAGTAAATAGAAGCTGTTCATCCCACATGCCTGTATTCCACCTGGCTGGGCCTAGTGTAATTGAGTTGAGAAAAATAAACAGATCAATAGCCACAGCACAGAGTAGAAAGTCCTGGAGAACTGTGTTTATTGTTATTTAGCCTGCTTTTATTCTTTCCAGTTTGTTATCTCTCCTCCCTTGTTGTAGTCTGTTAGCTACAATATATTGCTGAGCATTCAAGTAGAGCTGTCCCATGATCCAGAACTGGGAATTAAAATTTCCTGCTCCTTCAACAACAAGGCAACATGACCAGTTTGGAATCTGGCCATAAAATGAAGCATTAAGTGTTTGTATTTTTGAAAGATTTCTCCTTTGTTTTGGAAGCACACACTGTGACTTAAATCTTTTAACCTTCATTGCATTTCTACGTTCAAGAGTGCCTGTGCCATTTGAAGAATGCCAGTTTTTATGCCCATGTGGAGGAAGAGCTTATTACATAAGCATCTATACTAAGTATTCTATGGAAATATTAAATGCGGAATTTTAAGAAATGCAGTAAAACATCTTCCACCTGCAAAATTTGCTTTTAACTTGTCAGTTTTGGACTGAATAATGAATGTTTGATTTCCAGAAATCTTTAGTGAAAAAGTACTGAATTTAACCTTTTAGCAGATATTGGTTTCTCTGGGTCTGGATTGAAGGCACTTGAGATGTTCATGTCCAGACTCAGATGTTCTTATTTCTTATCAGTAAAACAGTCTCACAACCATGAGTTTGGCAGCTTTTCATTAGTAAGGCACAAAATAGCTGACAATCTCTTGTTACAAGGTCTTTTAAGACTAAGTTATCCAATTAAGAAAGGACACCTAGATTATTTTCCCTTTTAACCCAATAACTGATCCCTGGAATCCTGCAATGCAGACTTTTCTGTCCAATTACAAAACATCATGCAAACTCCTGAAGAAGAAGGAAGAAGAAGCTAAAGAAGAACAGCCTGCCTCCACCCTAAAACCTCCATCTTGCTTCATATTTATTTCTATGTTCTAATCCCAAACTCTTTAAGTTTTTCACCTTGCCATTTTACACACTTCTAACCAACTTCACACCCATAATCCCAGTACTATCAATCAATTTTGGAAGCCTTCTTCACAGCCTCAGGTCAAATGTAGTGTTCTCTTGTGGGTCTGTGCCTTTAAGCACAGAAAGTTTAAAATTCTCAGCATCCAGAGTTCCAACAAGCAGGTACCATAAAGTTAGGTCTTGGCACCAGCAT